AACTTTGGCGACACTTTATTTTCTCAAACTTGCCCTATATATACATTCCACCTAATCCTCCGCCTTCATATATATATGTGTGTGTGTGTATGTTTCCATTGTACGCATACAGAAACGACTAGAGACGTTTTATATTGTCAAACGCCAAATCCAAGTCCTCGTTTCGACCGGCTGGTTTCTGCGTTCCTGACAAGTTTAATTAACGTTTATGTGAGGCAGTCGAGACTCCTCAGGCTCTTGTCATGAATTTCAGCCCTTGCTTAATTAATTCTCAGTTTCTGTCGTTAGGGTTCCTTAAGTTAATTGAAAGCTGTGCTTTTCATGTTTTTGTCATCACTTTGTTTTCCATGTTTCTGTAACGTTCCTTTCTTTGCCTATTACTCCTTTATCTTTATTAATTGATTTTTTCTTTAACTTTCGTAACCTCTTTGTTGGGTTGGAACTGGGAGTCTTATATGGATGTTCACTTTTACCATACTTCATACATCTTTCTGATATGGGTTTTCGGTTAGAAAACATTCTTGCCATATTTTTTTACGGTTAGTGCTGATTTGGACGTTGTGACATCTCCTTTAGAGATGCACTTAGCATGCTTAATGTGCAATCATCAATATTCTTAAAATAAACATATAACACATATATATCTAAGCAACCCAAGTTCATCTTTTTAAGCAATGGCTTATAGCCGAAACGATTAAAAGCATGTATTTGTATTCAATTCACCCCTCCATCCATAAACATAAATCACATACATATAAATACACAACCAAAATTTTACCTCTTTGCTAAGCAAGGTTTTGTATCTCAAACAGTCGAGCAACCATCTCCGACCTGAGATCATGTACGTACTCGTGCCGCGTGCGTATATAAACAAGTACAGTCGTGGACTTTAGGTATAGCAAGAGTATTTCAACAATAATCTCAAAATTTTGATTGAAGCAAAGCTGGCCTGAGGGCTGAGACCCTAAAGCTGCGGACCTTAACCTCGCGCATGCACGTGGAACGTACGTTTGTATACATTCTCCTTCAATTGAACGAAACATAAAGACCTGCAGGAGGCCCTCGTCCAAAGTCTCTCTCTCTCTCTCTCTCTCTCTGTGAATATTCATGGCAGTTGGTTCTTTCCTTTTCACTCATATAACTTTGGCGACACTTTATTTTCTCAAACATGCCCTATATTTACATTCCACCTAATCCTCCGCCTTCATATATATACATAAGTGTATATATACTACCAATGTACGAATACAGAAACGACTAGAGACGTTTTATATTCTCAAACACCTAGTCCAAGTCCTCGTTTCGACCATCCGGTTTCTGCGTTTGTGAGGTTACCAGTTTAACTTTTCTGTGTGGCAGTCGAGACTCCTCAGGTTCTTGTCATGAATTCCAGCCCTTGCTTAATTATTAGTTTCTGTCATTAGGGTTCCTTAAGTTCATTGAAAAGCTGTGTTTTGCATGTTTTTGTTGTGTCTAAATCACTTTGTTTTCCATGTTTCTGTAACGTTCCTTTCTTTGCCTATAATTCCCATCTCTCGTAATTTATTAACTGATTTTTTTTTTAAGACTTTGGTGACGTTCTTTGTTGGGTTGGAATTGGGTCTAATATGGATGTCAATTTTACTATACTTTCACAGATCTTTCAAATTTATAGGTACGGTCTTTTTCTTATTCAATTTATCATCATTTATGTTCTTTTTCGCTTTCTATGAGCAGAGACGGAACTAGAAATTTTAAGTGTTGTTCATTTCTTTTAGGCAGTAAAAAATTCTCCCCAAATTTCAATAGTGCATCATTTGTTTTTATGACATTTTTCAAGTCACGAGTCTAACTACGATAAGATCGGCAAAGTGCTTTTAGATTTTGGACTTGAAAGCAAGATTAATTAAAGTTGGCAAAGTTAGGCATTGAATTGGATGATAAGCATTGGGAACATCGAGCATAGACTTTGGACTCATCAAATAGACAATTTTCACTCCTGTACAAGCACTTTGTAATAAAGTGCTTCAGTACCAAATTTGTTTTTTCAACCAATTCTGTGGTTGCAGTTGCGGGGGAGGAATTTTTCCGGCAAATTTATCGCAGCTGCCGGCCTAATCATCCTCTGCATTGTCATGTTCAAGTAGTCACATGATTCTAGCAGTTCTCTTATCATGAAGCAGGGATCACTCATGTATTGGTCATAGGAGGAGCTGGCTACATAGGCTCTCATGCTGCACTTAGGCTCTTGAAGGACTCATACCGTGTAACGATAGTGGTATACATCGATCATTCTTGAAAGCTTTTTCTTCGTAATTGTTACAATGCGTGAAAATGTAACTGTCAGATTGAAAAAATATTTGCCTCTTAGCCGATGACGGAGTTACGCGTATCGTTGCGTGACAATGGCAACTTGGACCGTGACTTAGGGGTGGTTTGGGAGTGAGGTGCTTAAAAAAAAAACACCCATGAAAAAAAGCTGTGAGGGTTTTAGGTGTTTGGTAAACTGAAAAAAAATGGTTTATTTTGGAAGCTGCTGTGAGAATAAGGGGTGGTTTGGGAGTGAGGTGCTTAAAAAAAAGCACACATGGAAAAAAGCTGTGAGGGTTTTAGGTGTTTAGTAAACTGAAAAAAAAAATGGCTTATTTTGGAAGCTGCTGTGAGAATAAGCTGATATTAAAGGAAAAAGCTGAAGCTGTTATTTGCAGCTTTGGAAAACTAGCTTTTTTTTCAAAGCACACGGAGCTACAGTGCTCCTTTAATGAAAAGACCCACTATCAGACTGTTTTTTTTTTCAAAATCACTTTTACAAAAAAAGTTTACCAAACACTCTGCTGATTTATTTCACAGCCGTTTATTCTCACAGCAGCTTTTTTTCAAAGCACAGCAATACCAAACCATCCCTAAGCTGAAATCAAAGGAAAAAGCTGAAGCTGCTATTTGCAGCTGTGGAAAACTGGCTTTTTTTCAAAGCACACGGAGCTACAGTGCTCCTTTAATGAAAAGACCCATTATTAGACTGCTTTTTTTTTTTCCAAAAGCACTTTTACAAAAAAGTTTACCAAACACTTTGCTGATTTATTTCACAAGCCCTTAATACACAGCACAACCGCTTATTCTCATAGCAGTTTTTTTTTCAAAGTACAACAATACCAAACCAGCCCTTAATGATAGATAAGGGAATGCATATGGAGCTCTACGGTGAGATTGCTCAGCACGCAATCGTTTCAGAAGAGGATATGTGGCTAGGATTTGGAGAAAATATACGAGACGGTGCGTTTTGGTTGTATTGCTATTATTTTTGCCAAGAGTTTCTTCTAGGAAAGTGCTATTTTCTTTCCTTTTTTTGTAGAAAAATTTATCATTTATGAAACGTGCAAGATGAGAATTCAGAGATTATTTAGGTAGTAGGGTATAAGCAAAGAGAAAATTTGGTAGCAAAGAAAGGTAGGGTGTTAGAAATTTGGTAACAAACAAAACCTATATGTGAAAGACAATTATTCAATCTAAGAATTCCACCAAAAAAAAAAAAAAAAAAACAAACCATTCAATCTTAGACAGTTTTAATCACAATAATGTTGGATAATTACATTTGTTGGTGACAATATATATCACATTGAAGATATAGATAACTAATCAAAATAATTGATACAATAAATATACAACCTACTGATGCATCAACATATAAGTACTCCATGTAACAATATTCTTTTATATCGACCCTCTTTTGCGGCAAAATAACATTGTTGATATATAATCCGTTTATGGAGTTGTTATTGACATCCTAGTAAAAAAACAAAACAAAACAAAACATAGAAAGGTGAACGATGATTTTTGGAAATGCTAATAACCATTCTATTATTTTAATCTATAAAACCTAGGGAAAACTTGGAAGTGCTTTCAAGTAGTGCTTGAGAGTTGAGACGATTGAGGACAGAACCTAATCAGAATATACAGTAACACAGTGTTTAAATATAAAAATTTTGAAAAGAAAATATATGGAAAAGGGAAAAGTTGGAGAAAATGTGGGTTTTTTTTTCTTTTCTAAATTAGAGTTGTTATGATGACATCTAGGTGAAAAGTTTTTAAAAAAATGTAAATTTTGATTTGTGCAAAATTACATTACTGCACATGATTTTATTTTATACTATAAATTAAATTGTCTTTTCACTGTTTAGTTAACAAGGAGAATTTTGTTAATAGGCAGTTCAAATTAGGATACAAGATAGGATTAAGGAGTAGGTGTTTAGTCTTTTTCTCACTTAAAGAATTAATTACATATAAATCATGCATACGTCTCTTTCATATATAACTTCTCCATCCCAGATTAAAAATAATTAGTTGGGAGAAAATATAATTGTTAAGAACTACAATTAGTGGAGCTCCAACAAAAAAGAAAAAAAAACCATTAGAACATCTTCAAATGATATGTCAAATTTAAACATAAAATTTAAATTTAAAAGTATATGACAATTTGACATCCTTTAAAGTTTTTATCTCCACCGATATGTCAAATTAAAATATCATTTTATTACTTTAAGCTATTACAATAAATATTTTAAAACAAAAAAGCAATAATCAAATCAATAAAATACATTTAATAATCAATTAAATTTTTTTTGAAGATGCTATCAATTTTGGCAGCAAGGGTGAGGGCTGTCAATCCACGTCATGCCACATCAAATTCTGTTAGTGTTAATTTGGACATTTTGACGTCTCATTTAAAGATGCACTTAGTATGCTTAATGTGCAATCATCAATGTTCTTAAAATAAACATATGACACAGATATATCTAAGCAACCCAAGTTCATCTCTTAAAGCAATCGCTTGTAGTATTCGATTCACCCCCTCATCCATAAACATATAAATACACAACCAAACTTTTACCTCTTTGTTAAGCAAAGGTGTGTATCTCAAGCAGTGGAGCATCCATCTCCTCACCTGAGGTCATGTACGAACTCGCGCCGCGTGCGTATATAAACAAGTACAGTCGTGGACTTTAGGCATAGCAAGAGTATTTCAACAATAATCTCAAAATTTTGATTGAAGCAAAGCTGGCCTGAGAGCTGCAGAGACCGTAAAGCTGCGGGCTCAGGCCAGTCAATTCACATGCAGAAGGCCGGGAGAGAGGCTGAAGCCGCTGACCTTAACCGCGTGCATGCACGTGAAACGTGTTTGTATACATTCTCCTTCACTTCAACGAAACACAAAGACCTGCAGGAAGACCTCGTCCAAAGTCTCTCTCTCTCTCCCCGAATATTCATGGCAGTTATTCTTTCCTTTTCACTCATAACTTTGGTGACACTTCTTTATTTTCTCAAACTTACCCTATATATACATTCCACCTAATCCTCAGCCTTCATATATATGTGTGTGTGTATATATCGCCAATGTAAGCATACAGAAACGACTAGAGACGTTTTATATTCTCAAACACCAAGTCCAAGTCTTCGTTTCGACCGGCCGGTTTCTGCGTTTCTGAGGTGACCAGTTTCTGTGTGGCAGTCGCGAGACTCCTCAGGTTCTTGTCATGAATTTCAGCCCTTGCTTAATTATTGGTTTCTGTCATTAGGGTTTTTTTTTTTTTTTTTTTTTTTTTAAACAAACGATATTATCTACAGTAATAGGGAGGGGTAGAGGGAGGGGGTAAGTTTAGTCTCACAATAGGCTAGCAATAATGCGGTTCAAATTTGCCTTTGGTGAGAATCGAACCTAAGACCTCTCACTTACAAGTGAAGAAGAATACTACTAGACCGTAGTACTAAGTGACTTAGGGATGAATAAATTTAATATTACTAAGGAATTTTGAAATGATGGAATTTTATATTCTAGAATTTGTGAATTTTCTTGTTTCATTAACTTAAAAGAACAATGAAATTGCATATGAAATTTGTTATTTTTAAACTCTCAATCATAGATATTGAGAAATGACACCTATTTACATGAAATTTAAACTTGGGAATTGGAGGTCCCAAATTCCAAGTTTTTTTCCACACGGAAATTCTAAATTTCTATGGTTATGAATTCAAACAAGGAAATTGGTGCATGTCAATTTATAAATTCTGACTTTTACCCAAATTATAAGTTTATTTCCTCATTCAAACATAATGTAAAGTTCATTGGAAAGCTATGTTCCATGTTTTTGTTGTGTCTAAATCACTTTGTTTTCCATGTTTCTGTGACGTTCCTTTCTTTACCTATAACTCCTATATCTTCTAATTTATTAACTGAAATTTTTTTAAACTTTGGTAACGTTCTTTGTTGGGTTGGAATTGGTTTTTTATGGATGTTCAATTTTACCATATTCATACCATGTTTTTATACCATATTTATATATCATCTTAGGTGGCATCTGATGTAGACAACCACATCATTTGAAAAATTTGCAAAACCCAAGAAAAGAATGACAAAGACTCCTCGTATACCACAATCATTATTTAATTAACTAGTTTTTCTTAATTATTTGTTTATTAAATAATGAACTAAATTTAAAAATCTGATTAATTCAAATGATGTGACTGTCCACATCAAATGCCAACTAAGGTGGTATGAAAATGTGGTACAAAAATAATTTAGAGGTGGGTCCTTTTCGTATTCAATTTATCATCATTTATGATGTTTTTCGCTCTCTATGAGTAGAGAGACGGGACCAGAAATTTTAAGTGCAGTTCTTTTCTTTTAGGCAGTAAAAAATTCTCCCCAAATTTCAGTCGTATCATTTGTTTTTATGACATTTTCAGGTCGGCAAAGTGCTTTTAGATTTTAGACTTGAAAGCAAGATTAATTAAAGTTGGCAAAGTTAGGCAATGAATTGGATGATAAGCATAGGGAACATCGAGCACAGACTTTGGACTCATCAAATAGACAATTTTTACTCTTGTACAAGCACTTTGAAATAAAGTACTTCAGTACCAAATATTTTTTTTTGATCCAATTCTGTGATTGCAGTTGCGGGCATGGATATTGCAGTCTCGAAACGGAGGAGGAACTTTTCCAGCAAATTTATCGCGGCTGCCGGCCTAATCACCCTCTGCATTGTCATGTTCAAGCAGTCACATGATTCTAGCAGTCTCAAAAAGGTATGTTCCGATTTAATTTTTGCTTTGTTTTGATTTTTTTTTTTATGCATTTTCTTTGTTGGAAAATTAGTTATTAGTTTATTTTTTGTTTATGGTTTTCTTGTGGGACAAGGATATTAGAATTTTCCATATTCTTTAAGGCTTAGGATTTAGGGTTTGTTTGTACCATACTTAGGGTATCCGTATTTAGATTTCGTATAAATACTCGGGGGACTTAAATGTAATTATGTAATAAAGGAAGGGGAAAATATGTAAAAAAGGGAGGAGCCCTTAGTCTATAAAAAAGCCTCCTCACCCTCACAATTCTCAAGCCTCCTCACCCCCTCAAACCTCTCAGATTGAGAAGAGCTCTCTCAGCCTCAGAAGCTCTCTTTCTCCCTCTTCAACATCCCAAAATTATACGATATCAGTGTGGACGTAGCCCAAACATTGGGGTGAACCACGATACATCTTGTGTTATTTACTTTCTTGCAGATTCACGGTCGGATTTACGTTGTTCCAAAACCCATCCATTTTTGTGCATCAACATTTGGCGCCTTCTGTGGGAAACGATACGAAAAGTTGTGTCGGTTCTCTTTCATATTTTCACCTCCACCGTGAATTTGCAAAAACCCAAGAACCCAAGAACCCAAAGCTTTCCTAGAAAAACCCACGGAGCCACATCCTTTCTCACTCAGTCTCTCTCTGCAACTGCAAGACAAAATCCCACATCCTCTGCTCCATCCTCTCTCTCTCTCTCCCCTTTCAACCCACTAGGCACTCCAAAGCAGAGGCAGCAAAGAGCCAGCTCATGTGGTTGTATTCACTGACATCAGTCTAAAAAAAGCCATTGAATTCGATGAGTATACGCATAATCATCAGCCCCCAATCGCCCTCATTAAAACTGAAGCTAGAGGCCTTTTTGGTTCTGTCTTTTATGACTTTGGACCTGAGTTCACTGTTTTTTATGTTGATGGGGAGGAACCACACACGGGTATAATTGCATCCATCAACAATGACAACCTTGCTACAGTGTCATGCGTTGACAATGAAAGACTTCAATTTCAGGATGGGGATCTTGTTGTGTTCACAGAGGTTCATGGGGTCCCTCTCTTCGTTTTTTCGTGGAGGCAGTAGCCATGGCGTCCCTCTCCTTGGCGATCTACAGTAGTCCCCCATGTCTTCTGGGGCTGTACCACAAAGGCAGAGATTCATTTGTCAATAAATGGGAGGCAGTCTCTATACCTCGTGGTACGCTTCAAGTGACATTTGTCCATAAAGGGTTTGATGAGACACGCCGACTTGGTCTTCAAAGTGAAACAAAGCAGTTAGTTCGTCATGCATCTCCCGAGGGTGAAACTGGGATGCTGGTTGTTGACTTTGTGGCTCCAGGTGGTCCGGCGTACAAGTGTTTGGCGCCAGGTGATGTTCTTGTTTGCATGAATGGGAAATCTGACATAAGATTTCCAAGGGGATTTCACAATCCCCAACAAAAGCTGCAAATCCATGACGCATGCTTTTCTTTGACTCCTCGGCATCCCGCAAATGGTCATCGTCGCCGTCGCATTCTCTTTGCAGCAAATCATCAAACATGTTCAAAGCATTCTCTTTTATTCTTCTCCTCCAAGCTTCCGTCGTCTTCACGCTCTCGGAGGCCAAGCTAAGCATCATACATCCTGAACCTGCCACCAAGGGCTTCAACGTCAGCAACGTCCAAAATGCGGGGAGTTGTTCAATAGGTGATTGGAGCTGATGGAGTGAACTCCAGAGTGGAAGACAGCAGTGGAAGACAGGCAGAAGATAATTGTCTGCCATCTGCCAAAAGAAAAAGAAAAACAGAATGAGCAGGACAACACCACCGACAACGAAAATGGTGAAAATGTGCTCGAGAAGGAGGACCTCATACTTAAGAAATCAGAGACGCAATGAGAAAAGCAAAAAAACAAAAGTAAAACAAAAAAACAAAAGCAGAAAGCAGAAAGCAAAAGAAGATAAAAAAAAAGCAAACATAATTGCGGTGGTGATGACATTATGGGCGTGACACATTGAGCAGAAGTATGGATTTATTTTTGAATGATGTGATTTATTTTTCTTATCTTTCGGAGACATCTGTATAAACCCCATCAGAGGGTAATAAAAAAAATAAAAAAAAAGGCAAGCCCAAAATAATGGCTTGGAATGTTATGTGGAGGGCGAAGACCCATATGCCCAAAAGAGCCAGACCCTCTATTATTACCAACCAGGTGATCAAAAGTACGCCCAGTACTCCAAAATTATTCGGCAGTCTGCCGCTATTATCACCAACCAAGTGATCAAAAGTACGTCCAGTACTACAAAAAATTATTCGGCAGCATGGCGTTATTACCACCAACCAGGTGATCAAAAGTACGCCCAGTACTCCAAAATTATTCGACAGCCTGCCGCTATTATCACCAACCAAGTGATCAAAAGTACGTCCAGTACTACAAAAAATTATTCGGCAGCCTGCCGTTATTACCACCAACCAGGTGATCAAAAGTACGCCCAGTACTCCAAAATTATTCGGCAGCCTACTGTTATTATCACCAACTAGGTGATCAAAAGTACGTCCAGTATTCCAAAATTATACATGAGCATCACTCATGTCAATCATACATAAACATTCATGAGCATCACTCATGTCAGTCATACATAAACATTCATGACCATAATTCATGTCAACATTCATGAGCATCACTCATGTCAATCAACATAAACATTCATGAGCATCACTCATGTCAATTAGCTTTGAAAGCTTCATTTACAGAGCTCCAGCTTCAAAAGCTTCATTTACAGAGCTCCAGCTTCAAAAGCTTCACTTGCAAAGCTTCACCTACAAAGCTTCAGTGCAGGGTATACAAATATCGCCTCCGAACAACTGCCACTTCGGCCCATACATGGATTCAATTTGAAGTCTCCAGCCAACATACTCTATTGACCGAAGACTTGGGGGACTACATTATGTACCATATATTGGGCCTCATGAAAAATACTTGGGGGACTCTAGCCCATTATTTATGTACTGAGGAGCGAACCCTTATTTTATAAAAGGGACTCCCTCACCATCATTAGAGAGCATTAACTCTAGCCCATCACTTATGTATTGAGGAGTGAGCCCCTATTTTATAAAAGGGACTCCCTCACCATCATTAGAGAGTATCAACTCTAACCCATCACTTATGTATTGAGGAGCGAGCCATTATTCTATAAAAGGGACTCCCTCACCATCATTAAAAAGCATCGCCGCCAGCTAAGCAACCGACTCACCGCGAGCATCAACTCTAGCCCATAATTTATGTATTGAGGAGCGAGCCCTTATTCTATAAAAGGGACTTCCACACTTTCAACGCCACAAGTCGAGCCAACCAAGGCAACATAAGCCACAAACCGAGCAACCTTGCAACATGTGCTACTTCTAGTTGAGCATCATTTCAGATTGAGCACCGCCTCATATCGAGTATCAGTTCTAGACGACATCTAGTTACTTCAGCCCACACATGGACTGAATTTCAAGTCTCTATCCAAAAGACTCTCTTAACTGAAGATTTGGAGGATTACTGTTTGTACCATACTTAGGGCCTTCGTATTTAGATCTCGTATAAATACTCGGAGGACTTAAATGTAATTATGTAATAAAGGAAAAGGTAAATATGTAAAAAGTGGATAAGCCCTTAGTCTATAAAAAAGCCTCCTCACCCCCTAAAACCTCTAAGATTGAGAAGAGCTCTCTCAGCCTCAGAAGTTCTCTCTCTCCCTCTTCAACATCCCAAAATTATACAATATTAGTGTGGACGTAACCCAAACATTGGGGTGAACCACGATACATCTTGTGTTATTTACTTTCTTGCAGATTCACGGTCGGATTTACCTTGTTCCAAGACCCCTCCGGTTTTGTGCATCAACAGGGTTTATTAGAGTTTTCTATATCCTTTAAGAATTAGGATTTTGCTTTAGTTTTCACTATATATAATAGAGTTTGTAATTTAGTTTGAATATAAGTCAGTCACAATGTAGTTTCTTAGGGTTTTTTAGCCTTTTCGGCATTCTCGTTTGTTTAATAATATTTCTATTATTTTGTAAGTCTCGTTCGTTGCGCACTCTGATAGTCAACTTGGAATTAGAGCAAGTTTGATCATTCGGGATTTAATTTGTTTCGGGTTAGTATCTGTTTGCTTGTTTCCATTGCCGTTCGTGTTTAGATTGTTAGTTGGTATTGATTGTTTGCAAGAAGCAAAAATTGTTCGTTCGTTTTTTGTCTCGTGACTCTGCTTCTGCACATTTGAACGTCACAGCCTGCAGAAGTACCCACAAGTCTGTATTGCTGCAAAGGAAAAAAGAAAAAATTGGTTGATTGTTTGAGGCTTAGGCCCACACGGGCAAGAAAGAAATATGATTTGTTTGGTTTGTCTGTCGTTCTCACTACGACGATCGCTCGAGTGCTTGGACTGGTGACCACTCAAGTAACGTTACAAAAGTTGGATTTTTTATTTTTTGTTCAAGTTTGTTCGGAAGTTGGAAATCTTGCATCGGCATTGGCATCGGCATCAGTATTGGCATTGGCATCGGCATCAACATCGGCATCGGTATTGGCATTGGCATCGGCGTTGGCATTGGCATTGGTATTGGCATTGGCATTGGCACTAGCACTGGAATTTGGAGTCTTGCATCCGCATCTACTTGTTGGCAAACTCATGACGTGTACCGCCATGAGTTTGACGGGGGGTGTTGGAAAATTAGTTATTAGTTTATTTTTTGTTTATGGTTTTCTTGTGGGACAAGGATATTAGAATTTTCCATATCCTTTAAGGGTTAGGATTTAGGGTTTATTAGAGTTTTCTATATCCTTTAAGGATTAGGATTTTGCTTTAGTTTTCACTACATATAATAGAGCTTGTAATTTAGTTTGAATATAAGTCAGTCACAATGTAGTTTCTTAGGATTTTGTAGCCCTTTTGGCATTCTCGTTTGTTTAATAATATTTCTATTATTTTGTTAGTCTCGTTCGTTGCGCACTATGATAGTCAACTACATTTGACTTGTTTTTGCAGTTCTCTTATCATGAAGCAGGGATCACTCATGTCTTTGTCACAGGAGGAGCTGGCTACATAGGCTCTCATGCTGCACTTAGGCTCTTGAAGGACTCATACCGTGTAACGATAGTGGTATACATCGATCATTCTTGAAAGCTTTTTCTTTAATTGTTACATGATTCGTTGATTTAAAACCCTTCTGAAAATGTTCACAGGACAATCTCTCTCGAGGAAACATCGGTGCTGTTAGGGTTCTTCAACAGTTGTTTCCAGAACCCGGGAGGCTTCAGTTCATATACACTGACCTCGGAGATGCAAAAGCTGTATCCTAATTATGCTTCTTTTGTACATTCTACTTTAAACTAATCTAATCTGTGTACAAGGTAAATTGAACTCAGGCAAACAATGTGTCGGACATTCCTTGATTCTTGTCTTAGGTCAATAAAATCTTCTCGGAGAATGCATTTGATGCTGTCATGCATTTTGCAGCTGTTGCTTATGTTGGTGAAAGTACACTCGAGCCTCTTCGGTATTCGATCGTCAATTTCACGTTAATTAGGTTTTCTTTTCGTCTCTGTTTACCTGGTAATGACATACAATTAGTGTTCTGCTGCAGATACTATCACAATATCACATCAAATACCCTGTTGGTTTTGGAGGCAATGGCAGCACACAATGTAAAAACATTGATCTATTCTAGTACTTGTGCAACTTATGGTGAACCTAGGAAGATGCCGATCACTGAAGAAACCGAGCAAGTGAGATTTCGTAACACAGTTTTAGTTGTCAGTTAATCATGTGTCAACTGCAAGGTTCAAATATTGTGTTAGTATATCAAGCCAAATACAACACAGATTGTATGTCAAGATGTGCTAATTTTCGAAATACTCAATACGTATAGTTGTACGAATTCAGGTCCCAATCAATCCATATGGAAAAGCAAAGAAGATGGCAGAAGATATCATACTAGATTTCTCCAAAAACTCAAACATGGCAGTCATGATCTTACGGTAGGCAGCGAATTCTTCTTAATTCCATGAAAAGTTTTTGTGTGCGCTCAAGCGTTTCTGAATTCAAAATGTATATTTTGGGTATCACTGAAGCTAAAATATGTACGGTTATATATCCAGATATTTTAATGTGATAGGATCAGACCCGGAGGGAAGACTAGGAGAGGCTCCTCGACCTGAGCTACGTGAGCAGGGACGAATATCTGGTGCCTGTTTTGATGCCGCTCGAGGGATTATTCCTGGACTGAAGGTACTTTTCTCCCTCCATTCCCTTCCTCTTTTTCAGGACACTTTTTAAGGCCAAAATCAATGTGAGAAATTGAATTCTTTTGTATATGTCATTGATTCTAGGTCAGAGGAACAGACTATGATACAGCTGATGGTACTTGTGTGAGGGACTATATTGATGTCACTGACCTGGTGGATGCTCATGTGAAAGCTCTCGCCAATGCAAAACCGGGGAAGGTTGGGATCTACAATGTGGGCACTGGAAGAGGTCAAGAAATCTGTCATTTGCGTTGAAATTATTTTCATCCTCTCAATACCCTTGCCTCGCTGGCCCCGCATTTCCTGAAGTTCTTTTTGATCATTTTGATCACAGGTAGTTCAGTGAAGGAGTTTGTTGAGGCATGCAAGAAGGCAACAGGAGTGGACATAAAGGTTGAATACCTCAGCCGAAGGCCAGGGGACTATGCTAAAGTTTATAGTGATCCTTCCAAGGTAAGGCAGGAGTTGAATTGGACAGCCAAGTACACACTTAAAGAAAGCCTACAGATTGCATGGAGATGGCAAAAATTGCATTTGAATGGCTATGGTCCTTCCAATACTTAGGTTAAAAGATACCAGATATATCGTTGTGGAAGCCGGATGTTGTTCCATTGAGTTGAACATGGATTTCCTTTTACTTGGAACATGTTGTAAATTTCCAATCGGCAAGGAAGAAAATCTCTGGGTTCGTTGAGAGAATGGACAAGAGTAACCCTGCATGTGTTTTCTGTTCCTGTACTATGTTCAAGCCCAGAAAAAGAAAAGGAGAGGATTAGATATTTCCTTTCCGATATATGAGTTCTCTATTCCAAAGTAACACAAGTCGTTTGAATGTAACTGAGGAACAATTGATAAATTACAAATGAATTCTCTGTGTGATTATTTACTGATAAATGCTATAATGTTAATAGCTTAGCAAGAGCGAAAAGGCAGTTACCATTTGTCGTAGTTTGTAAATCTTTGTCAATCATAAGGTGTAGACAAGTAACCGGTGTTTCTCATCTCTGTGGTTAGACTCTTTAATATGCTTGCAAGCTCTGCTGTTCTGGGCTGCGCCGGATCATCAAAGAGAAAAGCATGTACCTGATTTCTGAGTTCAATCCAACTGCAGCCTGGCTGCTTCTCCGTGCTACTTTCTTTCATTAATACCCTGACTCTTTCAACCTCGTCCCATCTGCCAGCCTCAGCATGCATGTTCGACAAGAGCACATAATTTGAAGCTTTATCGGGTTCAATTTCTAAAAGCTTCTCAGAAGCATACTTTCCAAGTAGTAGATTCCGGTGTATCCTACAAACTCCAAGTAATGCACTCCATATCTAGCAGTTGTCGTGATCTTCATATTCCTCACCATTTCAAAGGCTTCCTCTAGCCTCCCTGCACGACCGAACAGATCAACCATGCAAGCATAGTGTTCGGCAAGAGGTTCAATAAGGTAAACTTCAGTCGTGCTCTTAAAAATTTCTAAACCGCTCTCAACCAACTCACTGTGACTGCATGCTGATAACACCGCAACAAAGGTCACCTGATCTGGATTCACCCCCTCTATTAGCATCTTTTTGAAGAGCTTTACTGCCTCTTCACCATCTCCGTTTAGAGCATACCCAGATATCAAAGAATTCCAAGAAACAATATCCCCACACTTGATATCTTCGAACACAAGTTTAGCATCCACAACTTTCCCGCTTTTAGCATACATTGTAATCAGGGAATTGCTGACAAACAAGTCATTTACATAACCACACTTCACAACCAAATGGTGAAGTTTCTTTCCAACTTGTAAAGCTGCAAGATTGGCACATGCACTTAGACCACATGCAAAAGTCGACTCATCAGGCCTCTTCCCTTCCTGTCCCATCTTCACAATGCTCCTTAGTGCATCCAGATATAACCCATTTTGCACGTAACCTGTAATCAGAGAATTCCACGAAACTACGCTCCTCTCATCCATCGACTCAAAGATTTCATGTGCTTTATCCATTTGTCCTGTTTGACTATAACCAGTAATCATAGTATTCCAAGAAACAATGTCCTTGTTAATCATTTTTCGGAAAAGAGATAGAGCTTCAACCATTTTCCCACACTGAGCATAGCCTGCAATCATTGTGTTCCAACAAACAGCATCACGGATGGAAATGGGATTGAAGATCTCGCTTGCTTCATCCATCCTTCCATTTTGCACGTATCCAGACATCATTGCTGTTTGTGCTGCAATGTTCTTGTATGGCATTTGGTTAAGCAATTGCCTTGCTTCGTCAAGCTTACCAATACGTACATACCCATTGATCATTGTTGTCCACGACACAGAATCCCTCTCAGGCATATCCTTGAATAATTTAACAGCCTTGTCAATTTGGTGGTCTCGAACATAGGCTCCAAGCATTGCATTCCAAGAAACCACATTTCTACTTGGCAGCTGCTCAAAGAGATCCTCTGCCTTTGCAATCTCCCCATTTTGCGCAAACCCACATAACCACATTTGGGTCTGGAATCTTCTTAAAGAACTTGCAAGCAGAATCCAAATCACCAACCTCAACAAACCCATCCAACATCAAATTCCACAAAACCACATTCCTCTCAGGCATTTCCTCAAAAAACTTCACTCCCAGCCGCATCTCCCCATTTTTCGTATACCCTGCAAGCATTGAATTCCAGGAAACTAAATTTTTGGCTGGCATTTCATCAAACAAACCCTTAGCCTCATCAAACTTCCCCTTCCTCGCATACCCTGCAATCATTGCATTCCAACAAGCTGCATCCCCTTTATCCGGAAGCAAATCAAATAGCTCTCTTGCTCTCTCAAGCTCGCCACTACGTGTATAGCAAGTTATCATCAAAGTCCACGAGTAAAGGTCTCTTTCCGGCATGTCAATAAAAATCCTATAAGCTTCCTCGACATCGCCATTGTGCAGGTACCCGGAAATCATAGTGTTCCAAGAAACCAAGTTTCTGTGCGGCATTTGATCAAACAGTTGGCGCGCGTTACCAACTCTACCATTCTTAGCATAAGCAGAGATCATAGAATTGTATGTTACTGTGTTCCTCTGAGTCATTTGTGAGAAAACTTTAACCGCTTCGGCGACCCGACCAGACTTCCCCAACCGAGTAATCTTCAGATTTTGGTTGAAGACTTGGCTTCCCTTTTCACATAGTGATCTCAGCCTCATTTGGTCTTGCTGGTGGCAGACTTGGAAGAAAATAGTGCTGCTTTGTGGTTTGAGCGGTTGAATGGCAGTTGTGTTATAGTTAAATTTTGGAGGGAAGTGTTATTCGCACTCCTAATAAATTATGCACTTACTTTTTTTGAGAGATGCGTTATTCTAAAACGTAACCTAGAACTACAGAAGAGGATTCGAACTTGGCTACGTTATTTTTAAAATCTTCTAGTTATCATTTTAGAAGGGAGGTGATTTTCACACCCAATTTAACTTCTCGGCATTCTCGCACATCTCTTTTTATTTCTGACCATCAGACTAAATAAAGAAAACAACAAACAGATTAAATAAGAGTGTGAGAGGCTAATAAAGACGGGTAATTATTATTTTCCTTTTAACAGCATAGCAAACAAACTGAATTCAAGAAAGGACTAATCTTTTTTCTTAAACAAGAATATAAGACAGTACAAAGTCTTCCTCTAACAGCAAAAATGCCCCCTATCGGTATCACATTGTCTGATGCAGATCAAAACTTTTCTCTAACGAGGCAAAGCAGAAAATCGATCTGTGCCCCTACGTAATGTGGGTATAAGATGATAGCAGTATAAGTAACAAGAGAGATGTGGTTCTTGAGCAACTATTCTTCAGACCGCCAAACGGCAACTGAAAACCAAGCTCAACTCTACTCTTTTCTTACGTCTGAAAATTGCAGGTGCATTCTCCCTTCTTCTGTATCGATGCCAATCCACAGTGGTTGGGAAGGCAGTTAACTAAGGCTAATTGACATGTCAATTAGATTAGATCACAGCTCATCGTGACCCTCGGACTCAACTTTTTCATTTGCTGAGTCATCTGAGTCTCCGGCTTTCTGGTCCTCTTGTGAAGAATTATCAGAACTCGAATCAGAATCCTTAGCTTTTTCTCCGCTGCTCTCGGTTTCATTGCTTGTGGGTTTCTCAATTTTAGGCTTTGGCTTGGGGATTCTGTTGACGCTAGCAACCTAGACAAAGATAAAGTCATCGATAAGAGCATTAATCATATAGAAATAGCTTGGGATTGCATTTCCATTTATTTTCTCAACCCAGAAACAGAAACGAAATGATACCTTATCTTCCAGATCAAACAACTTCCCGAACACTTCATCCGATGTGAATACTGGTTTGCTATGTGCAGGAGTCCTTCAAGGAAGAGAAAAACTAGGTTAAGCAAATAGAAGCACTGCCCTAAACTTGCTATCAAACTTATAGTTATTCAAGGAGAGCAGACTGGATATCAGTCGGTAGACAAAATCAATTTGAAACAAATCATGAACCAGGTGAAATTATGCACTTAAATTACTGCTAACCGCAGGTTTTTTTTTTTTTTATAAACGAAAAGAGCAATACTTTCAAACCAAATAGTCGTGCAACACCGTACACATAGTACATTCAACACTCGTAAACATAAAGCAAGATATCAGGCAAAGGGAAATGGGCTTTCTCCGCATGATTCCTAAATGGGAAACTTTTATTTTACCCCCCTTCAGCATGGCTTGTTTTTAATTTACTACACTGTACGCGTATATGTAAACATCACTTATAAGCATGTAAGATTATATGCGCATGCATAGTTGACATCAACAAGTTACCTTAATAATGTCAAAAGAAATCAATGCAGCAACGACAATTACTTACTTTTTCTGCGCATTCTCCTTCTCGTCCAACCACTTCTTCAACTTGTCAGCATCACTTGCAACCTGGAAAACACAAATAAATTTCCCACACCTTAAGCGTCAGAGGCCATCAAACGCACCTAAATTAGATCATCACTACAACTACTATTTACAAATTCACGAAGAGTTTAAGTTGGATCATGTATGATTGAAGCACCTCATCTGTTCGATCCTTCGGAACCCAGGGTTTGTTTGACTCCCATCCACGTAGAATCTGCAAACATTGAGGAGGAAAAGATAAATGAATATGTCACATCTCATAGTTTACTAAGGTCATAGTGGCGGAGCCAGAAATTCATGTTAGGAAAGGCACACTTTAGATCAAAATGGACATAATATATATAGAAACTAGCTCGTTCTTTTGGTCGCTTTGGTATCAAATTCAAAGGTGAGAGTGATCATGCATTTATTATTCATTATACATGGTCAACTATATCAAGAGTTGAAAATAAAACATTATTAAAAGCACATCCTTTTATTCTTCAGTCTTGATATCAAATTCAAAGGTAACTGATTATGTATTTATTTTTTCTAATAGTGACCAAGAGAACATTTTTCTAAAAACATTAAGGCATGAGAGCATTTGGGTTTTTTGTGCTAATTTGAAAAAAGGAAATATTTTTCTCTTCTTGATTTCATATATAATATAATAGAGGAAAATGAGAAATTAACCAAAATAATAGTCTGCAAGCAAAGAGAAAAATTGTATATAGGTAAGAAATAGAGAATATGATCAACTAATATTAGTCTAGAACTATAGTTTCAAACTTTTAATATAAAAAATTTAAAGCTTTTTATTTATTGGATTGAAATTAATTGAACTAACCAATACAATTACAACTTCAAGTTTATAGTGGTAATTAATGATAGTAGAGGTTGTCACGAAAAAATAATTTGAGGATAGGCCCGAGCCTACCCTAGTCTTAGGGTGGCTCCGCCACTACTTTATTGCAATAGCAGAATAGCTCTTTAAATATTAAGGGTAATTGACCTTTTATGGCAACTGTTTCACATGTAAAACTAAAGTCTA